CACTCAGGCATCAGGTGTAGTACTAATAAAAATCAATTGGAATTCTGTTTTTACAACATGATCTCTTTGATATTATGAGAGGAGGAGAAGCTGAACCTGAGCCCCAGAATTTGGGAAAAAAGGCTAACACTCTTGTAGTTCAATTTCTGTGTGCTATATATAAAATTTGTATCAATGACTTTACTTACTCACATCTTCTGTATTGCAGGCAACATGGCATCCTCGTTACGACCTCATTGTGGTTGGTCGTTATCCAGATCCTAAGTTCCCAGAGTACACAGCAGATGAGCTGAGAACTGTTGACATATTTGACGGAAACAGTGGAGAGATGGTGTGCCAATTACATGATCCAAATGCATCAGGCATTATCTCTGTGAGTGTTGAGACCTAGTTTAGTTGCTGCTCTATCTGCCACAGGATCTGGGATTCAAAAAAAGAAAGGACTGAGAATAAATCCTCCCTTACCTACATGTTATCATTAATGCCTACTGTGCATTATAGTAGATAGAAGAATGTGTCTAAGTTTGGCTTCCTGCATGCTTCTTAGGCTATTTTTTAAGATGGATAGGTGGAAATCTATAGCCTTCTAGGCATTACTGAATTTCACCTTTCAGCAATCCAAGCTAGCATGGCCGGTGATGTGGCATAAGCAATGTCTATAGAGCTCCCTATTCCCACCTATTTTTCCTTTAAAGACCCAATGGTAATTTATCAGCAGAATATGGATAACTGTAGTGCTCTGTATAATTGTGTTCTGGGAGTGGTTTCAAGTTGAAAGCTTCACCTCAGTTTTTGGTCCAGAAGAAATGTTTCAATTTCTGTTTCCAGAGATTTATGCTTTCAGTTTAGATTTCAGACATATAATGAGCCAGGATTCCCAGTGAGTTTCTCGAATGAACTTTGAGAGTGAGGACTTTCTTTATCTCTGGCATCAGCCAGGGTGCTGAAACACAGAATAGCCAGGGAACAGGGCAGGAAGGAGGTTTTCCTATTCAGTGCTTTGCTGACTTGTTCAGAATTTTCCACAATCATTGTTGGGCTTTTCTGTACTGTTCAGAATGTTCTGGTTTCTGTTTTGCTTGATAAGTAGACAGCTGACAAGCTTACAATGCATTATTGTGTGTACATTTGCAGCTCAATAAGTTTAACCCCATGGGCGACATCTTGGCTTCAGGAATGGGTAAGCAAGCAGTTTAATCTTTCATTTTTCCTGTAGTGGTTTGGTATTCTTCCCACTCAAACATTTGCTAAGTATAGGCTTAAACCTCTGACTTTATTTGTAATTACCTTATGTTTCATTACTTTTAAATATTTTTACCTCTTAGCAAGCAATAGCTGAAAATAATAAAGGATTAATACTTTAAAATTGTTAAAGGGTGGAAGGTCAAGGTAGGAAATGTGTTGAACCTGTAATAAAATGCTACATTCTGGAATTCCATTGGCCTACTTTGGATTGATTATAGATTGACAGAAACAAAAACTAGAATGTTTTGGATGTTCTCAGTTTCAGTTTAAATGAAAACTGGAAGGATCCTGAAGGGATTTTATGAGGCAACTTATAAGGAAAAGCTTGAAGTTGCTCCCTTCTTCCTCTCTGACATCACCTATATGCTGCCCGGGCCATCCCTGATCTTACAAATGTCTTTTCTCACCTGATGTTTATATATATATTATTGACATTTACTTATTCTTCTCCTCACCCAAATCACTTTTGCCTGGAATATTTGCAGTTTGGTCATATTTTGAATAACCCAGCTCAACTTCATTCCATAATTGGAGCAAAACACCTGAAACACACTTATTTTTGTTTGGACATCGATCAACCCAAACCAGCTCTGTACCATCCATATATTGGTTTATGCATGATAATGTTTTAAGTATCCCCGATTAAGTAGCTTTAGTTGTACCAGTATATTGACATATATAGCATGAAAAAGAGTTGTTGAACTTTTAAACAATCTAAGGCTGAAGTGAGAGATTGGGTTTTTTAATATATATTTTTTAACCTAACATAGTTATTTCAGCTACTTGAAAATGCTAGCAAATAATATATAAAAGAAGAAAAGGGTTCAGTGCTTCTTTTGGCTGGAGATCCTCTTGATTTTTGTATATCATTAAAAATGTAATTAGCAAGAAAATGGGGCATACATTCAAAGGCACAGCGTTCCATCAATTGCCATGAATCAATAGGGTTTTGGTTATTTGTTGGGGTTTGTTTGGTCTGGTGGTTGCACCCAGCCACAGTTCATCTTGAAAAACTAAGAAGAATCCATCAGAAAATTACATAGCTAAACCATCCATGTTAAACCATTTTATATTATTGCCAAAAAGCTTGGATATATCTACCTATGGTAGTTACTAAGAGCTACTTATCTAGGAAAGGGAGAACTGCTGCCATCTGTTGACCTTTCAAATAATGTTCTAAAAAGGAAGGAGAAAATAAAATTTGATATTGAAGCATTTTTTTTGTTGTTGAAACAAGAAAAAAAATCCAGTTTAACTACTTTGGTCAAAAGACTTTTTACAAATTGGGAATATTTGTCTATAATTGATCCTTGAAAATGTAAGGCCTGTTCTCAGAAGGAATTTAGCTGCATAATTATGTTTATTTTTTAAAATAAGACAATAAAAATGAACCAAATAGAAAAAAAAAATAAGATTGAACTTTAATCTTCATTACTTAAAAGTATTACTCTTTGTTGGGTTGAGCAAGATAATTTGTTCATGATCTTCAGTTATCTAATTGTCAGAATTGTATCCCTCTAAAATCTCTTTGCAGAGTTGGTACCAAACACACAGCTTTAAAAACTGAGCCGTGTCTGAGCTCTTCGCATGTTATGTTTTTTATAGGCTATCCAAGGCTGAATTCCTAAGAGTGTGATTCTGTTGTTTTACAGGCTTTAATATTCTGATATGGGACCGAGAAGTGATGATTGGTAAGAAGCAGGAGGATCTCATGCAAGCTATGAAAGAGCAGAGAATTGGGCCTAGGAACGTACCCCACCAAAGAGGACAGAGGCAAAGGCAATCAAACACAGAAACAAACAAATTGAAAACTAAACTGCTGAGTCTTGAATTAGAGGAGACCAAAACTAAGGCTAAAGAATACACAGGGCACACTAAGAGAAGAAAGGACCCGGAGGACTTATGAGTCAAGCTTGTGTCACTAGTGTTTGCGTGGAGCAAAGTTGGTGCTGCTGGCATAACATGCGACATTAACTTCAGAAGAAGGAATCCCTTTATAATAGACCCATCTTCTTTGATGATGGAAATTATGTTACGGAACTGAGTCATCCATTATTATGGGCAAGGCATAAGGCATATACATGTGCATGTCCTTAAATGAGCTAAAAGGAATATTCTGTTGTATGTACCTGAAGGCTTTTAATTGTTTTAAGGCACAAACATATGCTAACAATCCAGATTACAGTATATTTTCAGACCTAGCTGTTTTCTTTTTATAATACATTGAAAACAATCCATGTTTATCCTGTGCTCACTAAAAATAAGAGCATTTTTGTTTTAAGGAGCAAAAAAACTTGTTTGTTCTCAGACACAGGTATTTGTATTTTGTGAGATTGTAAAACTGTCTAGAACTTAAAAGATATATAGAGGTACAAAAAAGGCAACTAGCTATAGGTACCTTACTTTGCAACAATTATTGTGATTCACTTACTGTGTTTTTGTTTAAAAAGAATATGTTTAATGTTTTTGTATCATAATTATTTTGTTATACAGAGAAGCTTCCTGCTTTTTGAAAAACATAATAGCTAGGACATAAGCCTGCTCAAGGAATATATCTGAGAAACTTAATAAAAATTGAATAAGTGACCAGATTCTTATTTTGGGGAGTCTTGCTCCACACATTTTAACTTGTCCCTTCATTGTCTTTTATAAACCTGATACTGCTTTTTTTTTTTTAAAAAAAAAAGAAGGATTTCAAGATTTGCATTCTACCGGTATACAATATATAAATGTATGGAAAATAGACCTCTTTATTAGCTTCAAAGACCTGTTAGAAATACATTAATTTTTATACATTGAATTGGAAGTGACAGTAAAGGTAATCTAATCATTGCAAATCCCTGCTTATTGCAGGATCTGCTAGATGCCTAGAGAAGAGGTCTCCAACCGTGGCAACTTTAAACCTGGCGGACTTCAACTCCCAGAATTCCCCAGCCAGCTTTGCTTTAAGTCTGCCAGGCTTAAAGTTCCCAAGGTTGGAGACCTCTGGGCTAGAGCATCTCTAACAGTTTACCATCTTGCATCAGAGAACTCATATCATGTGGCAGTCTGTGCCACTGGCTAATGACCTGTACAATCAGGAAATTCTTAATGTCTAACCGGAGCCTCCGTGCTTGTAGTTAACCTAGAGTTCTGGTCCTGCCTCTAGGGCAATAGAGAGTAAGAGCACTCCCGCTTTAATACTTACGTTAAAAAATCTAGACAATGGATTATTTCCTGGGAAGTTGGTCCCATGTCAAGTTCCCTAACTATAATTGACTTTAATACAAAAAGTTGCCATAGTTATATCTTTTCTTGTGATTCAGCTGCTAGACATGTGCAAAAAGAGCAACCCAACAAAGGGGAACAAAAATTCAGTCTCATCTTGGTTTTTAATGAAAACATTAAGAAAGTGATCAAGTGAATTACAGCAACATTTGTCTCAAGAAATCATAGTTTTTCCTCATTTTGTACCAAAGCAAATTATTTCCCATTTTATTTACAACTTAGCATATAAGAAATTGGCATATAAATTGACTTGATTCATTTCTGGAAGTGATTTATCTGAGTTTCTCTTGGTTCTACCTTCCAGCCTGCCCTGCAGGAGACGTATCATGCAGTAGTTTCAATAGAAAAATAAGAAAGACAACTTCAAATGGAATTGGGTAATTTTTTGGCAATTGTCTTATGTACTCTTTAGTAACGTGATACTAATATAGTGGCTTTAGAGGAAATGTAACATGTGAAATGTTTTGTAATGACCAAGCTGGATTTTCTTCAGTATCTCCTTGGAGTAGGATTTCAGCTCAGAAAAAGCAAAACACACAATTTTTTTACTTCATATCTCCTAGCATTTTTGTATACTTAGATGTATTTGATTACGGTAAGTAACCAGTATTGCTCTTTTTAAGAAGTCTGTTTTAAGGAAAGAGAAAATCGATTTTTTAAGGCTGTGTGTGTGGGGGGGAACTGTTCCTAGCATTTAATCCTGATATTGCAAACTAATTGATGGGCTGTGCTCCAGTTGAAAATAAAAAAAGAGTATTCATATGGTAGAAAATTGTCCTGTGGAGAAATATAAAAGATGATTTTTATGGGACTTGTTAGAAAGCTTTGAGCAGTAAATTAGGGGGTGCAGGGTTTTTTTTGAGATGGGGTACTTAAAAAAATGCTGGTTTTCTAGACTATGACAATTATTCTATGGATTCTTATCTTCAGATTCCACTGTTCAGGGATGAAGGAAATACCTTGCACATCTTCAGGAGCACTTCAGATCCTATAGAATTCATATCTAAAGAAAGTGCTGTTTTCTGTAAAATGTGAACTAATATTTTGATTGAAGTTAAGAAATTGGCTATGTCTTGTATGTGAATATTTGAAATTAGAGCCTTGTGATTTTTATATGCCATATATTTTTGATGAGGTAGTACGTGTAATATTTTTCTCTTCGTGAAGAGGAATAAGACAGACATCTATGCTGCATTGCATGGTATAAAGTAGAAATATACAATTTGAAGTGAAGCGCAATCAGTGAAGGCCTAAGGTGGGAAAAAAACTGGGCCAAAAGTTAAAGGGAGCAAGAGTGAAGAAAAAATGTGTGGCACCAGCATCATTAGAATGGAATGGGCACTAGGGAAGGTTTGGGAGCTGTTGATCTCCCAAATATATAGGACCCTGTATATTACATAACAACAGAACCTGCTAAATTAAAAGCTATCTAGTCTTTAACTTCAGCAGCATGTTTCAAAATGAAGTTTAGGAATGTAAAAGCAAAGAAATATTTCTACTACAGATATTTGAATTAAGACCTTTGAATGATTAAGCATGTGTCTTAAAGCACACGTATCTTGTTGAATGCATAAATTTGATCAACCCCTTTCCTGTTAGAGGGCAGGGAAGAATCTAATGTCACTTGTCCTATTTTTGAGTAAAGTACCTATAGCACAATTCTATGTTGACTTGGAAGTGAATCCCATTATGGCCATTTCTGTTGAGTGAATTTAAGATTTCGTCCTCTGGCTATTTTCTACAACAGAACCATCATTTTGTTCTGAATTATTAACTCAGTGGAAGCAATCGGTTATTGCTGGTTTAGAATCATGCTGCTGTCACAGTGTAGAAGACAGGTACAAGTGGCAGCTACTAGACTGAAGTCTTTTTAAGGAGCAGCGGGCCACTTTTCTGTGCCATTTTTAAACAAAGAGAGAGAAAGAGAAAAGCATAACCTTGTTGAACTAGTCACGCACTGAGAAATAGCAATCTAAAGCCATGTTGGCATTTTACTCCCAGCAACTAACTGCATTGTGCTGTGTTAGATAGAATGCACCTGCTAGTTGCAACAGCTCCACTGTCAAACTCTTCTGCTTCAAAAATCAAAATCAGTAAGATGTTTAGTCATTGAATGAGGCCCCATTTGTCCCTGAGATCAGCTCTGTTTCCTCTTGCTGCCTCAGGAGGGGCTGAAGCAATTGTCAAGGCTGTTCTCCTTCATTGGAAAGATGGCTGTAGCCAAGTGGCTGGGACTTCACACGGAAGAGTACTGTCAGGAGCAGAACAGTAAGTAAGAACAGGAGAGATCCACAGACAGCCAAAGTCACAATCAGTTCTGCAAAAGAGTGAAACAAAAACCATTCTAATTACAATGGTTTAATCTTACATGAATTGTCCTTCAGATTCATGCCGCCTCACTCACCTGTGTCGTTCAATGTGCTTATTATCTTACATTCCTGTTTCCAGTCCTTTGAAATAACTGGCTCTGTAAGTTGCAGGAATTGCGGAAGGGGACAGAGCTGTTTACAGTCGGGAAGCTGCAATATATAAGGCTCCTTCTGACTTTCATTCCGAAAGAACATCTCCACTGTAAAGTTACTGGAAGGAAGACGTATGATAGAAACAGGTTTTAATGGTCCATCAGTTGTTTTATATCACATTTTCTACAGGAACCAAGCACTGAAGCATGCAACTTCTATCCAGCCCAATCCCCTTTGTGTAATACTAGAAATCTAAAAATGTTAGACTGTCCCCTACTGTTTGGAGCACTGTTCTTATGCAACTTAGCTATTTTTCTGGTATATTTTTTGTATCAGATCACAAGCGATCAACGCTTGCGGCAATAACAAGTGGAAAGAGTTCATTATTAAATATTGTGTCCACAAGTGTATCAAAGTACTTAAACAGTGCATATGTTTATGGCTATTATATTCACATCAAAGTTAATTAGCACTGGTGGAAAATAATAATTGTTTTAAACAGATTCGAAAAGGTAATTACTCTATGGATTGTTCTGAAGATTGTAATTCTTTTTTAAAGTCATTTGTCTTTTCTGAGTGTATTTTGAACATTAAAGTTCAGCACACAGTTGCCTTTGAGTCTCATATCTCTTTGATACCCTGAGCAAAGCCCTCACCCGTCATCTTCTTCATACAGTTCAAATATATGACATGAAGCATAGGGTGGTTGCTTCCCATTGTAAACATTCAGAGCTGTCTGCAGTGCCACAAGCGTGGTGTCATGCTGAGGAAAGAAGAAATATGTGAATCTTCCCCTTAGTATGCACAGAAGACAATCTAAAATGCATTTTCTAAGTGAAGAATTTCCTGAACTACAGTGGGATAAAAACAAAAGGGATTCTAGAACGTAGATTAATAGTTAGCATTTATTCTTACAATGAAGAGCATTTCAAAGTGCAGGGTTCCCCAACCCTCAGCATGCCAGAAACCAGACTGTGCAAACATGTGAAGCCCCATCCAAGGGATATAGTTAGCACACAAAACCACACCCCCTCCCCCCTCCGGTCCGCAGAAAAGCTCTCCATGGAACCGGTCACCAACTTTTTGGGTACCACTGTCATAGAGTATTACAGAAGGGGAAACTCAACACGCCAAACTTACAGCTGAGTACACAAGCATTTTGAGATGGTGAGGTGCTGAGTCTTTTGTAGCTAAGGTAAGATTCTTCCTTATTTGAGACAAAAGAACTCCTATAGTAAGGAAAAAAAAAGAGTCTAGATCATAATCTCTTACAGACACTCGCACTTATTACTTGAATAAACATTTCTTCTTTACTTACCGCCCTGCAGACGAGCTTTCTCCACTTGTCTATGGATGCCAAAAAGGACATTAAAACTGAAATCTTTTAACTCCTTCAGTTTGGCCATCACCACAGGAGTTACCCATGCTGGAAGATTCATTTTGTGCATTGTCTAGAAAGACACAAGAAAAAGGTGGTTGGCCCTTTGAAGAATGAATGTAAATATTCCTAAAATCTCAGAACCATGCCATACAGAGCCTGTTTGCAGCTTACTACAATTTTGGAATGATGAGGGGGAAGAATAATGTACAAAACCAACACGATTTAGTAATTATTAAATAGCAACACATTTTTCATCCAAGTATTAATAGCTCCAATATTCAAATGATTTAATGTTGAGGTGTTTTTGCACAGGGTTATAGACTTTCAAGTCTGAAAAGTTTCATTCATGTTGACTGAAAATTTTAAATTTGACAACATGCCTACTATTTTTGGAGCAGGAAAACTGGTAGTCATTTTAAATATTTAATAGGGCTTAACATTGTTTGAAATAATAATATATGTATTCCATAGCAGCGTGTGTATTAGATCACAGGTACTACCAAGAAGTCATTGAAGTAAAATGTTTGAATTGGCTTCCCTCAAATTATGTAAACATGACCAGCAGTGTGATGTTGAGAATATGGAATTGATTTTAAAGTTAAAATGTAATATACAATATTACTGTTAAGGGAACATGTCAGTTTTAAATCATGTATCAGATTCAACCTAGATTTTCAGCAATTTATCATTCTAATTTATGAAGTAATATTTCCAGTTATCATTATCGTTATGATCATCAACCAGAATTTGGATCTTTTCTATATTACCAGATCAATGAAATCAAAAGTCATATCTGGTGGTGTGTAAAGTGATGTGACTAAGATGTCCCCTAATCTGATACAATCTGATGTATGTTTGCATGAGGATTTTTTTTTTCCTGTTGTACAAAACGGGGTATGAGTGAGACCTCTTTCTACGTTAACTACAGACACTAATATTAGACAATATACCTGTTAGTAAGAATATGGAGAATAGGGTTTGTCTATACAGGAATGGAAATAATTGTCTTTTATGGAAGAAGAATACACAGAGGTTTTATAGGAATACAGTTTGGATAGGGAAGCCTTTTCTCATTCTGGACCTTAGTCATCCCAGCCTTTATCATTTCTAGATGTTGTTAAAATCTACATTAGAAGTTTACCAGATAGTGAAAGGCTGTGCTAAAGGTTTGGAACAATGTACTTATATATACTTCTGGTTTCTTTCTGTGGTCAGTTTGCAGGTCTTCTGATAAAGCAGAACCTGCTGTTCAGAAAAGAGGAAGGTAGTATTGTGTGTTTTTGATTGTTAAGAGGGTCTCTTAACTCTACAGAGTAGATTGTCTTATTATTTAATAATAAACACATATGTATTCTTCAGAGAGAAAATGCATCCACTTTCAGTAACCAAATCACATATTAGAAACCTTTCTTATTAGATGGTTATTATATGCATGGTATAACAATAACAACAATTTGAGTAACAACAGAAGTATTTCTGTGCAGAACAATCATGTCATGAATATTCTCCATGTAGCCCCTGTGTAAGAGCATAGGTAGTTTCAAATATTACTAAGGCAATAATTTTAACAAGCACCTAAAGCAAATGACTAATTTACAACACAAAACATACCTCACAGAAGAGTGCATCATACACACTCCAGACAGATTCAATGGAAACATCCTGAATTCCTGTGATGTTTGCCACCATTTTCAAGAATTCCTGTATAAGTTTAAAAAAAAAACATTTTCTTTCTTTCCATGATCCCAATAATTATATAAAGAAAACAAGATATTATATGATGTATAAAAATACATAGAAAGCAATGTACCATATTCTGGATGGTCATATTTACATACTCTGGCGACTGCCTGGTCTCATTTAGCAACTGTTCGTAACGGGGACAGGAAGGTAGTGGAAACCGCAAGAGCTGGAAAGAGGCAACATTGATATTAGATTAAAAATGATAATTTGAGCACAAATCCCTCTTTATAATCACTAATTTCATGGCAATCTACCTCTCTAGGAGCTACCTACAGTATTTGTTTTGGCTAAGAATTCTCTGGCAATTAAAAACCAGAGTCTTGTAGCCCCTTTTAAGACAGACAAGTTTTTTATAATAAGACATAAGCTTTTGTGAGTGGCAGTTTATCAGATTCCACTGCACCACACAGCTCTCCTATAACATCTGGGAATTAAAGTAAAAAAGCAGAAGAGTGGAGCTCGAAGTAGTAGGAAAAAAAAGTACTGGAGAGATATTTTGACAGAGACGGACCTAATCTTCCAACATTTAAAGTGTTAAAGTGACTCACCTTCTCCATGTAGTCAGGTACAGTGTGTACAGGAATAGGCTGCCAAGTAATATTGGGATTAAACACTTGCTTCCCTTCTGGAGGATACAGGCCTGCTAGATTTGCCTCGGCACTCATCAAGGTTCGATCAAAATCTGTACTGCGAACAAAGATCTGCCAGGAAAAAACCCAAATAGAAGTGAATTACCTTAGTGTCACTATCATTACTATACTCAGGCTATCTAAGAACAAGCATAGGAGGTCTATTTTAATCAAGGCTGCAAATCTTGAGCTGGCAACATTTTCAACCCAAGAGCTGTGGTTCAAAGTGCAGTACCACAAGTATGCAATCCCCCCCCCCATTACTCATCGTGTACTAAAAAGGGCTGCTATGAATGCTAGTCTAGGGTAGTTTCCCCCTCCCCCTTTTTTTTCCTTATACAAACATTGCATAAAAGTTTGCTATAATCTAGAGCAGGGGTATCAAACTTGATTTCATTAAGGGCTGTATCTAGGTTGTGTTTGACCTCGGGTTGGGATGGGTGCGGCCAGGGTGGGTTTGGCCAGCTTAATGTCATTGTGTCGGGGGTGCCTGTGGCAGCCCAAGTGCTCTGCCAGGGAAAACAGGCTCCCAAGCTCCATTTCCTGCTGCAACGGCCACCTGCAACCCTCTGCCAGCGAAAACAGAGCTTGGGAGGGCCACACGCAGCCCTCCTGAGCTCCGTTTTCACTGGTACAGGCACCATGGGCCACTCCTTCGCTTTTTCCAGGGTGCCCCATAGGCCAGATTTAAGAACCTCCTTGAGTTTTGCATCCCTGATCTAGAGCAATGAGGTTGGGACGGAGAAGCTATGAAGCTTCCAATGTCTTTCAGGTAACATTGTTTCAGATGGTTAAGTTCCCGCTAGAGCATAATTCTGAACAGGATTATTGGGAAGAAGAAAAGAAGAAAAACAGGGTATTTCTTTCAGGGCTGCTAGATGGTAGTGATCTAGGTTTCTACCTCTCCTAGTCACCATGGAAAGCAAAGAATTTGTAAGGCTGTTAAAGTACAGCCATTGAGTGCAGCAGGAAATAATAAACCTAACGATACATAGAATAATGCCAACAAACTTCATTGAGGAGCCCAAGCTATGTAAAAGGAATTTTAGGAGCAATTGTGGTTTTGGTCCAGATCAGCTTCCAATTTCACAGACCAATCAAGACTCTTTCAAACATATGTAGTAGCTAAAAAAATACCTCCAAAGCTCTTTTTCAGAAAAAAGGATGGTCATTTAATTAGTTTCTCTGCTTCTACAGTCTATGGGTTTTCCTGTATTGTAAACTTATGGGCAACGAACTGTCCATAGAAATAGGAACTAGCTTTTTCTTCATGCGTGTTGATATATTTATGAATGAATCCTACAAAAAAAAACGTTCTTGACCAGAACACATTGTGCCAAAAGTCAATAGCTGTCAGATGAACAGATTGTCCAGATATGTGTGTCATAAACAAACAGTTCTTTGAAAAGGGAATTACTGTTTGATAGTCCAAGCAATCTAAATTAAATGTTTCTGAACTATACTAAATAAACAACTATGGTTATGGAATTAGAAAGGGACACTGAATCCTTTGAATGCAATCCCCTGCTCAGTGCAAGAATCTTAATTAAAGCATTCCACCAGATGACCATCTGTGATCTGCCCAACACAACTAATGAAAGGGAGCTCTCTGAGTAATTGATTCATTCCCATTATTAAAAAGTGTTTTTAAATACTCAATTGGAACTTGCTTTCCTAAAAGTTCATTCGGTTACTCTTATGTCTTGCATATTAGGATGAGAGAGAACACATCGTAATCACTCTGAAAAAAAGCTGTATCTCCTTTCAACCATCTTTTCTCAAGGCAAATACCCACTTTCTTTCTTCATTGCACTTAGTTTCTAATCCCAATCATCCTCATTGGTCTTCACTGAACCTGTTCTGATTTCACTGATTCTTCCTTAAAATGGTGCCCGAAACTCGACTCAGTATTCAAGGGAGATTAAAACCAAATAACGTGGAATGATTAGATCATGTAATTGGACATTATATTCATATTGATGAAACCCATATTGAGTTTCCAATTTTTGCATTCACATCCCACTGCTAGATTAAACTCAGTTTTCAATCATCTACTTTTCAAAACTTTTTTCATATTATTACCAAAGCTAGGTATCTTCCACTGTGTTATGTGTTCATTTATATGTGTGTGTGTGTGTGTGTGTGTGTGTGAGAGAGAGAGAGAGAGAGAGAGAGAGAAATGTGCTCATTTCATTTCTGTTTCATAAATAACTATATGAGCCCTTTCAGCTCATTTCATTTCTGTTTCATAAATAAAGAACTATATATTTGCCCTTTCAGCTCATTTCTTTAGATTATCCAGATTATTTTGAATTTTATTTCTGACCTCTAAGGCAAGGGTTTCCAATCTTGGCAACTTTAAGACATGTGGACTTCATACTGGCTGGGGAATTCTGGGAGTTAAAATCCACAAGTCTTAAAGTTGCCATGTTCTAGGGCAAGGGTGTCAAACTCGCCATGTCATGTTGATGTCATGTGACATATCGTGATTTCTTTTTGCCTTTGTGGAATGGATGTGAGTGGCCTGTGTGTGACACATCTGACCTGTGAGCCGCCAGTTTGACACCCCTTTTTTAGGATATTAACAATCCTACCCAATATTGTATCACATTTAAAACTGATAAGCCTTATCTTCGTCTCTTCATCTGAGACATTTATACAAATATTGACTTAGCCCTCATCCTTGTGACACATCACTCTATGCCTTTCTCCAATATAATGTATGATTATGCAACAATAAACCAGAAAATAAAATTACTACACATAGCTCTTCTCTATTGGCGTAAAGCAATATTATGCAAAATGCACAGAAGGAACAAGGAGAATTAGTTGTACTGTTACTGCTAGTCATATGGAGCGCACCAACCTCTTGCCTTTTGTATGATGTACTCAGGAATCCATCGTAACGCCTACGAAGAGCTTGGCCCAGGTCCCAATGTTGTTGCATCCCTTCCTATTCATATCAATATGGGCAAATTAATAGTTAAGTAGGTCTTAATTGCTAGTTAACAAAACAGCAGAAAGCAAAAATAATGTTTTTACAGGTCAAAAGTTCTCAGTGGAGAAAATGTGAACGAAACAACTTCCTGAAATGGAGAGAACAACCCCCTCTCCTTCAAAGATCTATTTTCTGTCCTCTTTCTTCTTTTTAAGTTTTCGGCTGTTCTTACAATAAAATAAACTTAATAGTTAATTATAAAAACTCCTTGGATTTTGAGTGATACTGCTGCTTCCTGGGATAGCAAAGAAAGTAGGAAACTTGTATAAAAATAGCACTCCAGAAGGGAGGGGGGAGGGGAAAAAAAGAACAAAACAGGAAATATTAAAACTGTTGCTAAAAGTGCTTGAGTGATGCTTGTTGACAGGGCAGTTACTCTTCATGCCTCGCTTCAAAAAAGTAGTTATCTTGATTTTTAAAGTCCCACCTGAGACAGTTGTCCAAATCCTTGGGGCCAGGCACTTTCCTGGTAGGGATCACGAGGATATGTCTTCACCGGAGAGCGATCTCCATGCCGATACAACTGGAGGAAACCAAAAATACACGCATTCTGTGTAGCCCATGCACATGCTTGTGCCAGTTCTAATTTAGGTTTGGGGAAACGTTATTATTTAGCTCGAAAGTGAGGACGACGACAACACTGTTGTTACTAGCCGGGATAGCCGTACCGGGCGACCAGCCTCTCCCGCCTCGTTCCGCCCTTGCAATCATCACCATCATCCCTGGACTCTTCCCTTCCAACGCTTCCGCAAAAAACAAGCAAAATGCCGAGAATGGCAACGTTTGGATGACAACAATACGCGAAGATTTCCCCTCCACTCAGACCAGCAACCTGCAAGGAAAAGGCAGGACGCAACCCAATGCCACGATCCCGGTGCCATAAAAGCGGCAGGGCAAGGCGGCGTCGGCGTTGTTTTAAATCTGCCAGGTTTTTAACAAAAAGTCGTCGCAAACTGGCTTTTCAAAGGGATCTCGCGGTTAACTTCCTAGCAGCTAACAGATTTGTCCCCTTCCCCTTTTTTTTTCCTTAAAAAAAACAAAACGAAACGAAAAAAAAACCACCCTCGGGACGTGTCACCTGAACCAAAGGATCGCCCGCCGGGCGCCCCCCTCCACTTAGCCCCCTCCCTCCAGGTTTGCTTCGGCTGCTCACCAAAGTCACGAAGCGGAGAGTCCGGCTCTGGGAGATCGGCGGGGCTAACGCAAGGACGAAGCCCAGAATAAAGGTAAAGCGAAGCCCCCTCCAGTTGCAGCGACTTTTGCTACCTTCCATGTCTCTTTTCCGCCGACCATCGACGTTCCTTGTTCGACCCCCCGTTCCTGGGAGAAAGTGAGCATGCTCCATTTAGCCGCGCATGCTCAATAGCAGCGTTTGAAGCTATCTCTCTCTGCCATATTTTCGGAGAAAACGGTTTGGCTGAGAAAGGGAGGAAGTGATCGGATAACAGAATAATAGAGTCGGAAGGGACCTTGGAGGTCTTCTAGTCCAGCCTCTTGCTCAGACAAGAGACCCTATACGTTTCAGATAAATGGCTGTCCAGTCTCTTCTGAAAAATTTCCATTGATGGAGCACTCACAACTTCTGAAGGCAAGCTGGTTAATTGTTCTCACTGTCATGAAATTTCTCCTGTGTACTATAGGAGTTCTTAGTTCTTTTGATCCCTCCTGTGGCTAATGTTGAAGCAGAAATGAAAGTCTTAGGTTGCCTTCTAGAAATCGTTTGTAATCCACCGATGTTTTAGAAAATGGCAGATGAATAAAAGATGAAAATAAAAACTCAGCAGAAAAGAAACAAAAATAGTATCTCAACTGAGAGTAAAAAAGTGAAACATCAGTGCACAGTTAACTGTAAAAGATTGTAGAAAAGTAGACAAGCTATACCACCAGGTGGAAATAGGTAGATCTTGGAGATGCTCTTAGTGGCCAAGTGAGTGTCAATCATACCCTCCCTCTTTTGACAACCGTCTCCCAAATATTGCAGATTGCAGATCATGTCAGGGGAGAATTTGTACGGTGTCAGGAAAACTGAGAGGGTGGCTGCATGGTGAATGGTTATTAGATAAAAGAAGGCAAGCTCTTTAGACAATGAAAATCTTGCTCAAAGAAGAGACAAGGAAGGCCAATCTTGAATTATAAATATTGACCTTACTGTCATAAAGCTCTGATACCAGAAGAACTAAGCCCATCCTATCAGACTGTTTGCCAAGAAATAAGAAATAGTACTGTACTAACTAAATGACACTGAGTCTTGTTGAAGAGCTTGGACAAAATATCTCTGCCTGAATTTATATTTTTAGGAGGAAACCAAACAAACCAGGACAAATAATTTTAGGCATTTGACATGCACAAGGATTGTATAGTGTTACTCAATACAATGTAAAGTTTCAAAAAAGTTTCAATTTTTTTAAATGTAAAATTTCAAATGTAACTTCTCCATACAACTAATCTCTGAAACAGACACCTGGAAACCAGCAAATACAACTCATCTGTACGTCTGTCTCCATCTAAATATACCTGTGAAAAGAAGCATCAAATTATATGTCTGGTTCAAGTGAAATATTGGTGAAGCACTATTTAAAATAACATTGTTAATCATAAAGAAGGACCAGTCTGGGAAACCCTATCTCAGTATCATTTTATAGTTCTTTGAGATTGTCAGTAAGCATGTAGAAATAGAAGATTCAGCAAACATGTTTAGTCTGTGTCATATGTCAAGCTATCCTGTGATTTATTTGACTATGATTAAGCATTAATCCATGTGTCCAAGTTTGCCCAACACACTAAACTACACAACTAGCCACATCAGCTGGGGTTACACCCTTCACTAAGCAACATTTTGCAAACTCAGTCTCCAACTTTCAAAAGAGTTGGTTTTTGAGAAGGTCCCACATAACAAATTCCAGAACAAATTCAGGAAGTTGTAGAGAGTTCCTTTTCTAAATTTCCAACTGAAGAATAGGAAACAGTATGTAGAAGTAATCAGTAATTTTCACCATGGAGGTGCCTAAGGGGATCTACTAGGCCAGGGATTAGTGGTTTTTTATTAGTTCTGGAATGGGTAAACATTGTGATCAAATATGCTGATAACAAAAACAATGTAATAGTAATTATGGTTTCATATTTGGAACATAAAATGATACAGACTGGAGCAAAAGCTACCTCCTGATCAATTTACAGATATCCTTATTAGACGTATGTAAATACTATAATGCCTTTACACTGATCTATGCCTTTATACGTATCTATCATAAAACTACATATTAGTACTGGTTGGATCACTATTAAAAGTAGGATTTGATACTATCTACATGGAAGATACGGTTCTCAGTATCCACCTATGTTATCTTTGTCAACTTATGGTACTTGAGTTAAAGTGTTATTGCATGTACAGATAGTCCTCAACTTAGGACCACAATTGGTACTATAATTTCTGGTGCTAAGTGCAGTTTAGTCTTGAGTCACATCCAATTTTACAACCATTTTTATTATGTATATTAAATGAATCACTGCAGTTTCCAAATGAATCACACAATCATTAAACAAATCTAGCTTCATAAGTGCAAGGACCAGACATAAGTCACTTTTTCAGGGCCATTGTAACTTTGAATGGTCAAGCTTGCCAACTACTTGTCATTAGGCAGGAACATAAAACAATGTGTCTCCAAAGCATTCCTGGAAGGTTGTAGTTCAGATGAGCTGAAATACAGAACACTTTGATAGTTCCAGATGTCAACCAAGATAATACTCAGAGATATCGTCTCGGTCTCTCTCTTTCTCTCCTCCCTCCTCCCCACCCCCCATGGCCTGGACACTAGCTCACTTGCTTTGTCCTCTACCTACTTCAAGCCATGCTTGAATAAGAAGAGTAAGAATAACTTTCGTGTCACTTTGAATGTACACTAATTGGCATACATTAAAATGAAATTTTGTTGCATACAGCTCTCAAAGGGTCACCAGCTCCATATTGACAAAATAAATATACAAACACAAAATTATGCATATACCCACATATATGACATGGAGAAACAAGTCTAGTTCAGATGTATACATGTATATGGCAAGAAAAACAAATCTTGCAAGTTTACCAGATGGATGGCATAGGGAACACAGCTGTTAACATAATCTGGTAGTCCTGCTAGAAATGCCTCCAATTAATGTCTTTGAAACCAAAGACATTAATTGGAGGCATCTAATACGAGATAGGAACAGGAAGGAGCTGGAAAAATCAATGATAGTGTATTGGTTGGAAAGACTGTTCTTGAAGCCCATGGCAATGGTTGTTCAGTTGTCCTCCTGATCCTCCATTTTCCTTTCTCTACCTTCTCTTTGCTACCAGTGAAATCCTTGATGTAACCCAAGATATCCAGCCAGTCCATCTGAGCTTCCCATGATATTTCTTTCTCCATTTTCTCTTACAACCTTGATTTCAATGATATTGGCAACAATTAAATGGATGTAGAGAAGTGCTCAGAAAATTAAGTGGTGGGCAGACAGATTGGATATGACGTATTTTTAGACCAGAACTGTCTACTGCCTTCCAATAACAGATCAGATGATCATAGATGGAAGGTTTTGCTGCTCATCCTTATTTGCATGCTTCACCTAGCTGGGGACTGTGAAAAATCAAGCTATTACATTTAATAGGCTCTGATTTGGGGTAATGTACTTCTTTTATTCTAAAGACATAGGTAATTCACAGAGTACAATGATGAACAGTACAAAGAAGGGACTATTCTGGAATAAAATAAGGACTTTTGCTACTATTTGTTTAAAGAGACTGCTTTAATTAAGCTAATTAGAAATTTGTGAAACTGAATAATTTTCAGAAAAAAATGAGAGTAAAAGTGAGTGTTTGGCAGTACCTTTTCTTTCTTTTCTTTTTTCCCATTTCAGAGATGCAGATTTTAGAGAAAGGGACAGCAGTCTGCCCCAAACAGAGTGCCTTCTGGATGTCAACCACTCCATGCTGGTTAAAAATTTTGATGTTGCTTTTAGATGAAAACAGGTTGGGAAAGAAGGACCTTGGTTTATATGATCACTCCTTAAATAGTCGAATTAGACTAAGAAAGCAATCTTGGTCAAAAGACTTTTGAATACAATATAGTGGTAGGATTAGAAATATAGACACACTAATATATTAAACTGTTTCTTTATGGCTAAGCATAGGTTGTAAAATAAGCTAAAATTAACTAAGATATGCAAGAAAAAAGTCACTTTTCACAAGTCTGCACATCTCCTGAGAAGCAGTTCACATCTGGTGAACCCATCAGCCCCGGCAAATCAAAGATTAGAGAAACCCTTTGCCTATGATAATTTAATAAAATCTTCAGGTGGGCTACAGTTTTAATGAATTGGAAAACAAAGTCGAACCAGCTAATTGTGTGTATATTCAGCTGTAAGAAACTATGTCCCAGAATGCGGGGTGAGCTACTATTCCAAAATAGGACCATTTTCGACAGCTCAAACTACCGGGACTCAACGTGGCAAGCCTTCCGCTTTCACAGGATTCCGTTGAGGTACAGTACGGGTACAGTACATACCAATAACGGCATTAACAAGAATCCTCACCGGGCGATTATAACGCTTCCACCGATTCGGAGAAAAGCTCGGGAGAGAGACGCGCCCCTCCCCCAACCCCACTCCCCGCCTTTGAGTGGTCTGCCCGCCCCGCAGCCAGGATGTAGTAATCGGGCCGGGGATAGAAAGGGCCGCCGGGGGGTGGAGTTGGGGAAAGTTCAAGCATGTGACTCGAAAGCGGCTGCTGTTGTTGCAGAGACTCGCACTACCTCACTGTCACTTATGCTCAGTGGCCCTCCTCAGCCGAGAACGGCGGAGCGCAGGGTTGAGTTAGAGCCCCCATCCTGCCTTTCCCCGAGAGCCGGTTTTTCGACTTTTGCTCCTTTCGCTTGCCGTGCGCAGCGCGTCCTTCCCCTTCCGGGACTGCCGCCGTTCCCGGACCTGCTGTTCTGGACCGGTAACTACTTTTTTTTTTTTGCGCCATCTTCACGGCAGCTTGGGAATGTGGTAGCCTCCTCCAGTGAGCTCGCCTTGCTTCAGCAACCCTGGGGTCTCCTTAACGTTCCTAGGGGGCCGTTGCTAGGAATTCCTCCTCGTGTCAGTGGAAGGCACCGACGCAAAACACCTGCCGGCGCCAAAGCAGCCACCACACAGGTGTATTTTTTTTTATAAATTGCTCTCCGGAGGCTCCGGAGAGCAGTAAGGACTCCGTTCGTGACTTTTAAGTTGCCCTGCTCTGTGGAGAACCGCTAGTCTTGATTCCAGGAATAAACTCTATAACCAAGATGACTAAGTAAGAGAATGTCCTCTGGCTACCGTCTCATTTTGGTGCGCAGATTAGGAGGTGAGGTATAAAAAAAAACTGGAAAAGATGAGTGATTTTAAAAGCAGGATGTTTAATGTAGCATTCTGATTGCTAGTACAAAACTGATGTAGCTTATTCTTGAGTTTTGC